GCGAGTGCTCTCTCTCTCTCTCTCTCTCTCTCTCACACACACACACACACACACACACACACACACACACACACACTCTCTCTCTCCCTCTCTCTCTCCCTCTCTCTCCTATCGTTGTTATATTATCATACAGTTTTTTGTTTTTGTTTCGTCTCCCTGTATCTAGCCATTCCCTTCCTCCAGTCTCGCCGCCATCACCCATGCCTCCCCTTGCGGCGTGCTTGCGTGCTGCAAGGTGGGTTGCCCTTGCCTACTCTCCGTACTCCGCGGTTTTGTGGTGCGCGCCGAACAGCAAATGAAAACGTACGCATATCACGTGTACTACATGTCAGTCAAGTTATTTTCCCGCGGACAAAGAAGCCCGATAAAAAAATGACCTTTGGCGCGCTTCAATGACGACACGGCGGCAGGTGCCGGGGTACCACACCAAGATCACGCGGCCGGTGCACATGCGCCTTGTGGACCAGAGGCTCAAGCGGGGCGGCTACCTCAACGAGTTCGCGTTTGTGAGTCTCGCCCCCGCCCCAAAGAAGCAAAGGAGGAAGAGAGTGTAATATAGGGTTTCGTCAACCTCCACCTTGGTAGCCTCGCCTCGTGCACGAGGTGTGACGCGCTTCTTGTGTAGCGGGAGAAAGGAGTCGGCAAGAAGGTTATGTGTTTGTGTGTATTGCATACGTGCGTTTCGTCTGCGCTTGTTGCACTCAACGCAGCAGTAGAGTGGATCCATCCAAATTTGCTGCTGCTGCTGCTGCTGCTGCTGCTGAATAATGTATCATTGGTGCCACGGCGCGCCACGTTCTGCCGATTACATGCCATGCTGTTTTGTTTTGGAACAGGCGAGCGACGTGCGGCTAGCGTGGTCCAACGCGAAGCTTTTCAACAGAGAGGGGTCGGAGCTGTGGTTGGCGGCCGACCGGTTGTCGCGAGAATTCGAGGCGCTGTTCTGCGAGTGGGTCATCAACCCGCCTGATGGATACGGGTGCGTGTGTGTTTTTTTTATTGTTTGTATCGACCACTCTAAAAAAAAACGCAAGTCTTAATGCGACTGAAAACGCAAAAACACTTCTCGATGCCATTAACTGGGACCCCGTGAGGGTGTGTGTGTGTGTGTGTGTATCATTTTTATAAGTATCGACCGCGCTAACCGGCTGACCAATGAACAGACGTCAGTCTGTGTGTGTATGCCTTCTTAATACTCGGTGGCGTCGGTGGCGCTTACCGACTGACCAACGAAAATGCGTCGGTCGTACAAGTAGTATCGTTGGGCAAGAAACCACCGAACGCGGTATGCAGGCGCTTGTGTGCGGCTGATCATGTTTGTTTTGCTGTTGTTAACATTGCTGAAGATGGGGCGATTGGTTGGTGCAGAGATATTGCAGCGGAAACTCCCCTCCCCTCCCCTCCCCTGTTTGGAGTTTTGACCCCGTCGCCCTCCCCCCCGTTGACCGGCTCAACTCGCTTAACTCGCTTGGCGCACGCCATAGGAGAGGCACGCAAGGGAACGCGCCCGCGCGAGGGACTTGGGACGACTGGCAGGAGCTGAGGTACTTCGACAACCTCAAGGGCTGCAGGGGGTGTGCCAAGGTGTGTGTGTGATGTGCAATGTGTATCCCCGACCATCGTCGTTGTCGTTGTCGTCGCCGTCGTCGTTGCCTTTCTCTCCCGCTCTCTCTCCCTGGCGCTGTCTCTGCCGCCCTCTATTTTGTCTCTCGCGCTGTTTCTCTTCATGTTGTTGTGCATCACCTGCCACCCACATCTCTCTACCTGCATTTTGTTCTGGCAACTGCCGTCTATGTCGAGGGGCGGTGGGTGTGGAAGTGTGGAGTAGTTGGCCCGCCCACGTAACATGTGACATGAAGGCATATGCATAGAAGGGCGTATTCTCGCACACCAAAAGGTGCAGCACACAGGAATGACTGGCCTCCGCTGAGGCACTCATGATTTTTTTTTCCCGTCGTCCCGCATGCTTTTCCGCAGCCGTCCGTCCGTCCGTCCGTCCATCTACCGTTGATTCAACCAAACCAATTTCATTCAGCCCGACCCCCTCCCTCCCGACGCCACCGTCCAAGTACAGTGGTACGCACGTTAGCCACTGATCTGCACGTCTCGTTCGATTCAATCTCCTCCCACGTGCACCATTCCGAAGACGGCACACCTCGTCGCACTCTCTCATTCCCTTCTCACCAATGATCGTGTCTAGGCGTCCACGAAGGTTAAGTCGGCGGCGGCGGCCGTCACGACGGCGGAAGAGGCGGAGACCGCCCGCAGGAAGAGCATGCCGCCGGAGCTTGTGTGCTCGTCTTGCGAGGACGAGTGGCACGCGATCTGCCTCGGAGACGGCAACAACGCCGGCGGCGATGATGGTCCGGCGGCGGTGGCGGCGGCGACGAAGGCGTCCTTGGAAGGACGACCGTTTCTGTGCCCCAGGTAGGTCTCGTTGTCGAGGGGTCCTGGGTGGCTTTGGGGGGGGTACAGGTGGTAGCCGCCCCAGCTTTTCGTGTCAAAAGGCTTTTGCGTGCGTTTTGTGTTGTGTTGTAGAAGAGAGAGGGCACAGCAGGGAGGGAGGCGGGGGAGACAACAGGGCAGTATGCTTCCTTACCAAGCCAATGGACGCCACTTGGTTAGTATATCAACAAGAGCAGCGAAAACTTCTTGTGTGGGCCGCGCGTACGTGTGTGTTTGCTGCGGAGCTGCCGTGTATGGTCTACTGTGCATGCGCAAGTTTTTCACGCATATAGACTAACTACAACGAGGTTTTCCAAAGGTTTTACCGGCAGTAGCATGCTGCTGTTCGCGCTTTCCCGCCCCGGAGTCAGCACACTCACTTCGTGCCCGCCCCTCATGTATTGCAAATCTGGCATTGTTTGCGCCATGCGCACACGAAAAAACAACCCTCGTCTCTTAAAAAGATGCACGGCTTGGGCTAACGGCGGCGGGCTTGGCGGAGAGTCTCGAAGCATAGCGGCCGGTGCCGGTGCCGGTGCTGGTGCCCACCCGACTGCTAAGAGTCAAGGAAAAGAGGGTACTGGTACTGCTGCTGCTGCTGCTGATGGTGGTACTGGCGGAGCTAGTGCTTCTGGTAGGGCCAGGGCGGCGGCCCCGCAGTTTCAGCCGCATCCCAGCCTGCCGGCGGGGTTCCAGCTTCGAGGTACGCGGCAGAGGATGTTGCTTTGTATTTCTTGCAACAACGTCTTTTGTTCATCTGGCTTCACGTGTGCTCTTCGTTTTCCACTGCAGCCCCTGCTCGACACAGGGCCTCAGGCTACCCCCCTCCGCAAACATTTTTTGGCGCACGAATCTATTCGTTGGAGGTGAATGAAGGGTGGGTTGAGGCGGTACGGTAGTGAAGAGAATATGTCTTACCTTACGGGCCTCCCGTTTCGTCGTTTTGCTTTGTTTTCTGTCTGCTCGTGCTGTACCGGCGTGCTGCTGTATTTGCGTTTGTCGTCTCTTTTGGGTTACTGTAGTGCGCCTGTTTGTGGATTCGTGCAAAGTTTTCACGGCAAAGGAAAGCGCTCTAGAGTATTTGGGGTGGGCTACACTATTAAGCCAGCTAGAATATTCCCGCTTCGGGGGATCCACCTCGTTGCTTTTCTTCGTTTGATTTTTACAAACGCCGCACCCGTCTCGCTGCCACTGCCTGCTGCTGCTGCTGCGCGATGTTTGCTGTCGCCGTCTGCTGCTTCGGTCGTCCGTGCGGTGCAGCTGATCCAATACCGCCCACCGGGACAACAGAGGCGGCGGCAGCAGCGACAGCAGCGGCACCGCCGCCGCCGCCGCAGGTGGTGCTCACCCCGACGGGGTCTGTTGTCGTCGGCGCTGAGGCGGCGAACGCGTGCGCGAAGGCCCACCGGGGCAGGGTCTCTTCGGACCAGAGGGTGAGTCAACTAGACTGCATGCCGTAGAAGAAGAGAGCGGGTGATCGCACACCCCGTAGAGCGGACTTCGGTACTTAGGCGTATGTTGCTCCGCAGCCAGGGCTCGAAATGCGGACAAGGGTATGTCTTGGCAAGCATGTGTTGCTCCGCAACCAGCCGGCAGGGTGCCGATGCCGCCTGTAACGGGTAGGCTGTCTTTGCACGCGAAATTCGCTGCGCAGCTGGTAGGTATCGGTAGTGCCAAGGGCCGACAAGGGTGGTCTGTATTGGGGGGGGGGCAAGGTGTGTGTCGTCGACACGGGAGGTTGCTTTCCTTGCTGCACGTACGTGTGTGCCGTTCGGTTCGTCGTGCGCTCCGCTCTTGGTTGTGTAGCAATCGAGACTTGGAACGTCGGTCAAAGGTTAAGGGGTGTGTGATCACAACCACTCGCACATTTGAGTGACGTTTGTCTTGGCGGTGGTAGCGATGTTATGCTTGTGGTGTTGGTGTATTGTGGTGATGGTGATGGCGATGGCGATGGTGTCGAGTGGCACTACGGGTCGGGTGGGTGGTTTTGGTAGCGTTGTGAGTCGGTGTGGTGGTCTGGCTGATGTACGTAGTAGTCGTTGCCTTGCCTCTGCTTCTGTTGTGTGTTGTTGTTGCCGCGTTGCCGCTGATACACGTCCAGTTGTCACACCCGTTTCCCCCCCCCCCCCCCCCC